ATTGAAATAATGAAGAAAGAGAAATCATGGATGATGTCTAGACTTCTTGCTGGGACAAATGGGTGAACAATGAAAATTGGTAGTACTAGAGGGGGAAACGGCTTAAAGTGGAAAGAGTTTGAATTTGGGGCATGTTGCTTTGAGGGACTAGCTGGGTATTTAAAGAGATATAACAGACAATCAGATTTGTGCAAATTCAGAGAGCTAAGTTAGGGGTATACATTTGGGAGTTATATAAAAATGTATTTGAGCCAGGGGAGTTCATTCAGAGAGAATGCATGAAGTGATTAAAGGACACAAACTTTGAAGCATGGCATTCATAAAAGTCATTAAAATTATATGTAGGGCATTTTTTAATTTTGTACTTTGGTCTCACACATATACTTCTGGATATGTTGTAGATCTGAGGATTAACAAATACAGGAAAAGAAAACATAAAAAAGATATAACAAAATTAAAGTAGGTGAAATAACAAGAAAAAAGCAGGGAAAGGCAAAAGTCCTTGGCATCATGGTTTAGGGGGAATTATTTTAGATACGTGAATTACTGCCAGGGTTACAGATTTAGTTACAGGTTACTTAGGTTATAGGATTTAGTCCCAGTCCTGCATGACAGGTTCTCTCTAGCTCTTCTAAACTGCTGTTTCAGTGGAGGTTTATATGCTTAATAAATAAACACACAGCAGAAGTCTGGGATCCATGGTTAACTATGGAATTTACCACCCAGTAGCCTGCATTTCTTACTTGAACCATTAAACCATGCCTGCCTAGGTGTCAAATTTGATGAACATGTCACTCCCAGGTTTGAAATTTAGAAACTGGTAACACATTATAAAGTACTACTGAATACCAATGGTTCCTATTATCTGTCTCAGCATGTCATGAAGTTAATGGCAGATTTCTAAGAATCTATTTCTTGAAGTGTTCTTACAGAAAATTCTGAAATAAAAGTTAGTATTTGTATCTTGTCGTTCAGTTTATGTAGCATTTTCAAATACATTATCTCATAAATAGACCCACATGATTATTTTATTAAAATAAGTACAATCAGAACAGATGAAGAAACAAAGGCATGAGGTTCAACAACTTACCTCAAATATTAAGCAATTATTAAGCAGGAAAGTCTGGATTAGCCTTCTAACTCTAAATATCATACCAATTCTTGTTTTTTCCATAAGGTTTAAATCAGTAGTACCAAATTTAATAAATCAGTAATGACAAATTTCCTATATTTTATTCACTTAAGTCATTAAATGTCATAGGCTAAATATTGTACTCAGAAAACTAGTGAAAAAATAAAGTCAAAAAAAAGATACTAACAATGTGCCTTTAAATCTAGGTTTCTTACTATATTCTTTTATATCTGTTGCCAAGTACTCTTCCTGAAGGTAATTACCATAATTATTCTCTGTGATTGCTGTGTGCATGTCACAGACATTATCATTACTCTAATTATAATACAGTTAGCCAAAGCTGAATTGTTACATTTCAGCTCAACTCCCTGTTTGTTTTGCAGACTATTTATAGTTATGACAGATGTATACTGTTCAAAATATAATAATGGAACTTGATATACTTTTCAGAAGCTGATATAAAATATACAAAAACACTGAAAGGAACAAATTGGACAATTTAATAAGGATTGCAGCTGCTAAAGGGGATATTAGGGCAGTTCCCCTAGAATTTTAAAAACCTCTTGCCAAAACAACCAGTGAATAGCTCTTTTTATAACATTCTCAAAATTAATAACTGCTGAGAGTGAATATACTCTAAAGAAGTAACTTGAATTTATTCTGTGGGAAAAACAAGTATGAATGAAAAAACTTTTTCACTGCAGTTTTGTATTATAAATAAATAAATAAATATATATATATATAATGAAAGTTGCCATTTTTACCATTTTTAAGTGGACTATTCAGCGGCATTAATTACATTCACAGTGTTGTACAAACATCACCATTATTTCCAAAACTTTTTCATTACCCCAAATAGAAACTCTGTACCTATTAAGTAATAACTCCTCACTCTCCTCTCACCCAAGCTCCTGGTAACCTCTAATATATTTTCTGTCTCTATACATTTGATAATTCTAGGTATTTGATATAACTGGATCATACAGTATTTTTCCTTTTGCAATTGCCTTTTTTCATCTTGGCATAATATTTTCAAGGTTCATCTATGCCACAGCATGTATAAGAACTTCATTCCTTTTTACAGCTAAATAATATTCTATTATCTGTATATACCACATTATGTTTATCCTTCTGTTGAACACTTTGGTTGTTTCTACCTTTGGATATTGTGAATGAGATCTTGCTTTCAGAATCTTTTCAGAATCTGATACGCCTATATACCTAAGCATATCAGATGGAATTCTATGTTTAACTTTCTGAGAAACTACCTGTTTTTCACAGTGGCTGCACCATTTTACATTCCCACCAAGAGTGTGAGAGGGTTCCAATTTCTCCAAAACCTCACCAACACTTATTATCTGTCCTTTTGATTACAGTCATCCTAGTGACATCTCATCGTGCTTTGGACTTGCATTTCCCTAATGACTAACGATGGTCAGCATCTTTTTCATGTTTATTTCCCATTTGCATATCTTCCTTGGAGGATGTCTATTCAAATTCTTTATCCATTTTTTTTAATTGAGTGTTTGTCTTTTTGTTGTTGAGTTATAGAAATTCTTTATATATTCTGGATATTAAGCCCTTTTCAGGTATATGATTTACAAATATTAACTCATTTATTTGCTATTTGATAAACTCTCATTCTGTGGGCTGTCTTTCATTCTCACAATAGTATCCTTTGATGCACAAAAGTTTCTGATTTATTAAAATCCAATTTATCTATTTTTTCTATTGCTGACTGTGCTTTGAAGAAATCACTGCCAAACCCAAGGTCATAAAGATCTACCCCTCTTTTCTTTGAAGAGTTTTATAGTTTTGGTCCTTAAATTTAGGGTCTTTGAGTTATTTCAAGTTAATTTTTGTATCTGGTATAAGATAAGGGCCCAACTTCATTCTTTTTCATGTGCCTATCCCATTTTCACACCGCCTTTGAAGAGAAAGAGTTACAATTTTAATAATTAAGATTCCATCAATACAACACTGTTGGTCATTTCAGAGGCTGGCAATTCTTGAACAGTGATTTTTTTCAGTATTCTTAGATTTTGGTGTGGAAGATAGCATCTTCTTTTTGTTTAGAAGTGTTTTTAATCTTACTTCAAAAATAACAGATTTCCATTATCAAACTTACATTAATAGAGGTAAACAAAAGAAGAAAAACCATTCAGAAAAAAAATCACAGATAACACTTTGGTTTCTATTCTTGTAGTGTTTGTTTTCTCTCTTTTTCTAAATATCTTTCTAAATATTTCATATTTATCTATGTCAAGTATTCTATAACATAACTTTTAATGGTTGTATTGTATACCACATCTGGAGGGACTATAATTTAATCAACTCTCTTTCACAAGATGTTTAAAAACTGCACTGTACGATGCGATAGGCTCTACCCACAAACAGCTTTTAAATTTAAATTAATTAAAGGCAGATACAATTTAAAATGCAGTTCCACAACCATATTAGCAACATTTCCCATACTCAATAACCACATGCAGCTAGTGATTACCATATTAGATAGAAAAGATACAGAACATTTTCATCATCATAAACTTCTACCGGATAGGACTACTTTAGAATGTTTCCAAATTATCCCTATTATAAATAACTCCAAAGTTACTGTAAATAATCTTTACGTATATATATGTACATGTATATATACATACATACATATATATATGTGTATATATAGAGAGCTCCAAAAATTCCTTTGGAATACATGCCTAGAAATGAGTTGCTGGTTCAAAGGTTATACAAATTTTCATACTTTCAGAAACACTGGATTCAGGGATGTGTCCATTTCCTTTATCAGTTTGATAGACAAAGAGCAGTGTCTTCTGTTTAAAAGCTGTACTGATTTGATAAGGGATGTGGTGAAGTGGGAAGACAGAGGGATAAAGGGCTCTGGTGACCAGTCTATGGCAACGCTACAAACATGGTACCAAAGACGGTAGTTTCTGTAAATTCTAATAATGTAGCACCGGTCTATACAGAAAGAGTGTATTGTCACACTGCATTGTCTCCATGAATCATTCATTTACATTAACACCACTTTTAGGGTTAAATATGAACATCTGTTTATTGTCCATTTATGTTTTGTTTTTTCATGAACAGAAAATATTTATTTACTGTTTTAAAAAAATCAGTTCCTTCAAAGAGCAATTCTAAAATTCTAATAAAATCACCTTCTCCCCAAACAAAATACTGTCTCCTCAGACAGAGGACATAACGTCTACCAGTCTCACGTAACAACTGGTATGATCCTCTACTACAACGTCTATCACATTACATTCCAACTACCTCTAAGTGTCTGCCTATCCCGCCTGCTAGCCTGGGAGCTGCCTGGATTCAGACCAAGTCCCATATATTTCTTTTCCATCTCTAGTCGCATCCAAGAGCCTGGTAAATAACAGACACTGATACCTTCTTTTAAGATGAATGACCAGGAGCTCCAGTTACGCAATTGGTTAGCGCGCGGTACTTACAAAATGAATGCCCAGATGTGGCTTGTCCAAGAGCAAGCACCCCATTTTCTAATCACTTAACATACTCAATTGTCCTTCATATTCCTTTACTAAATGCTTACCTCAAGTAAGGCTCTCATTTACGTGAAGATACAGTTTACAAATAAGGGGTTAAAAGCAAAAGTCATATTATATTTTAGCAAAGTAATTACATATACATAAAATAAAATACTCTTGTGAGATGGGTTATTAATGGATCCATTTTACGAATCAAAAAACTAAAGCTACAAGAGATTGGAATCTTGCCAAAGGTAACAGCACTAGTAGATCTCAAGGTTATACACTAACTGGGGTTTCTAACACTACATGTTAATGTATTTTTTCACTACATCAAGCAAAAGTTTTCAGACAAATAATCTCTGAACAAAGCACCAGTTGTAATAGAAATACTTACACTGACCCCAGCGACCTGTTCTTGGGTTCAAATAATTTGGATAAAGACCATTAGGACGATCCATTTTCTGAAGCAGTTTCCGAATGTGCATGACCTAAACAAAATAAAATAAAAATGCAATTAATGAATAAAAAATATCATTAAGGTTTTGTATTAATCTAGGCTTTGTTTTTTCACTCAGAACCTACACCACCTCCTGCCCTCCACTTCGTGCGTATGTGTGATGGTAAGAAAAGGCTTCTATTTTTTAAATGACCCGTTATTTTAATAAGATGATATATAATCATTATTTAAAAGTCAAGCAACAATAAAAATATAAAGAAAAGATCACAGACAGAAACTAATTTCAATGCTAACATCAGTGATAAACATCATTCTAGACATATTCAATATGTACATAATTAAACATACAAAGAGAAATAATTTCATAGACATATAATCATAATAGGATGTTTATACTAAAAAGTAGGAAACCACTCTGCTTTTAATACATGAAAAAGTAAAAGAAGTAAAACTAAACTGTTGAACTTTAAATATTGATCCCATAATAGATAACCCTAAATTCCTAAAATTCTAATTCCTAAAAGATATCTCTAAAGTTAACGGGGGGAAAAAATCATGAAATATATTATGAAGCTGGAGACTTTCCTAGGGACTTTTGTTTTGATTCTTCTCTAGATTGGATGATGATTTTTTTAAGTGCTTAAAAGAAAAAAAGAAAAATCACAAATGCGTTTTATTTCCTGTATTTACTTGAGAATGTTATTTCACATTCAAAAGATAACCTAGTTGGCATAAATGACTTGGGGAAACATTTTCTTTTTCACAAGGCCTTATATATAATTCACTATTTTCTGAACTTGAGCACAGCATTAAACTTTTTCATACACAATTTCAAATCATCTTTCATTGCCGGGATTCTGTCATCATGCAGTTTTAGGCTACATGGGATGGGCTCAGGGATGCCATATTACCTGTGTTTCATGTCAGAGACCAAGTCTAGTACAACAATCTCAATCTGAATAATTCCATGAATCAGGTTTAGTCAGCTCAGAATGATGTTGTTATGAAAGATGAAAAAAATCAGCGTTCTTTTGTCTTCTGGAAATTATGCATACATTCAATCCTCTCTTCTCTTTCACATCTATCATTTCCTCTCTTAATCTTTTTATCTATCTTTCAATGTTCATACGTTTACTAGCTTGTCTCAATTGTGTCTTCTAAGACTCTTATTATATTTTGAATGTTTTCTTTGTATTGCTTCCATTTTGCCTTTCATTTTCATAATAACTTTATTTTTTTTACACTTTATTACTGATAACACATCTTATTGTCCTTGAGCACTTGTATCTCTGTTTACATATTTATTTCACAGATGAGAGCTTCATTATCTTCTCTCTCATGGTGATGTTTGGTCTAGGTCTTCAACTGCTATTTTTGGAAAAGTATTTTTTGGCTATCATTTATTTCTCATGTTCCTTCCTTCTTTTTCTTCTAGCAATATTTTTGTATAAATTCTATACCTGTTTTTCAGGTGGAACTACTCATTGCTATTCTTCTTGAACCAGCTATTCACCAGTTTTGACATAAAAGGCCAAGAAGAGTCCAGAGGTCAACGTGCTTTTTTAAGCCTTTGCTTCTCTCCTTAGGCAACTGAAACCAGCAGTGCAGCACTGCTCATAACAGAATCTGTCACTCATTCTCTTCCTTCACCGAAGTGTGTGGGCTTTGGTGCGTCTGTGAGATTCCTAACTGAATTCTGTTTTTATAGCTTCTCAACCCATCATATGCAGTGGGATCCAAAGAAGCATCCACCATCAGCCTGTGATCCAGTTCTCACGTTGCTAATAAGGATTTGGTTTTGTGCCTCAAGATGTATCACGTACTTTACAGAGAACTGCTCTATTAGCTTTTTATTTTTGAAATCTCCAACCACAAATATCCTCTCTGTAGTTACCAAAACCTGTCTGTGACCTTGATTGCTTATGCCAACTTTTATTCCTGTTTTGTTACATGAAGTATCAGTATCTCTTTCAATTTCGTTGAAAGTGGAGTTCATAGTTCTGTTTCTAATTTTTGTTGCTTTTAAGTGTGTTAGGTCCTCTACTTAAGAAATATCATGTTAGATTATCTCTGTTTCACAAATTTATCATCTTTTTAATCTATGTTTTTCCCTATTTTAGCTATGAATATTTCTTGCTTTTATTCCATGTCAGTAATTGTTTTCAACTACGTACAGTAAGTTATTTGTTGCTTTTCATTTATTTATTTTACAGAAATATATTATGTAAAGTGTCAATTTGTTTCTTTAGCTCTACAATCTTCTTGTATCATTTTATTTTATTTTATTTCTGAGTTCTAATTTTACTGAATTCCATTTCTATTACAGTATGAATTGCTCATGGTGACTTTTAAACTGTCAAGCAGTGTTATCAGTCTTTTACATGCTATTTGCCGCCCTGTTTTTATTTCCCACAGTATGTCTGCATAATTGTCATGCTTTCTCTTTCTATGGTGCTCACATTGACTGTTAGGTAAGCTCTGGCCTGAACTTTGGTCTGATACAGTGCAGATGAATTGTCTCAAATTCCTTCCTACTGTGTGTGAACGGGGGCGTTCCTCCCCTCGTGGATACAGTTTGAGATCTGGAGTACTAGTGTCCTCGCCCACTTCCTGCAGCTTGAGGAGGATGGGAGGGGAGAACTCCTCTGGAGCTGGGGGCAGTGGTGCTCTGGACACCCAGGGCACTGGCCTCCCTTGTAAGATTAGCAGGGAATACCAGGAGTATACTGACTTGCTTTCTCTGCCCAGTAAGGATTTAGGATAGGGTAGGAGACACACTTAACATACTATAGCAGAAATCTATTGTTGCTGCTGCTGGGTTTTTTCTTTTTTTTTTTTTTTGGCTGTCACATGTTTTGGACATGAGGTTGCAGACTTTCTTTTCATTGCCATAGATGAATTTTTGCTGGTATTTATTATTTTTATTGTCATTCTTCATTTAATCAGGAAAGGAGAAATTCTGTGATCTGGCTCCATTTTGCTATCCTTACCTGAAAATTCTCAACTGATAAAATATTTCAGACACAGAAACAAATATATATAGATTCTACTTACATAGGACAACACTACACCACCTCTGCCATTCTGTTTACCATGACCCATTCACTTACTACTACCTTTGTCTGAGATGTGGTCACAGCCCTGAATTTTATGTCTATCATTATCTTGACTCTATTAAAACCACATTTGAATCCCTAAATAACACACCTCTGCTTCTGGTCAACTTTATAATAAAGTTGTAGTATACTCTTTTGATTGATGAATGTTGACCATAATTAATTTTTTTTCACTGCTGTGTTGAATCTTATCACATAAATTGCTAATATAAAACAATGCTTTTATGTATATAATGTACATGCACATACAAGAGTGGAACTGCTGAGTTAAAGGGTATATGTATTTTCAACTTAACCACATATTGTCTTTTAAATTTAAGCCTTTCATGCTCCTGGAATTGTTATAGTCTACAATGCTACTACACTTGTCATAATGTTTCCACATCTATATGGGTCTGCTTACGGGCTGTTTATCCTGTTCATCTGTCTTACTTGTGTCTATCCACCAGATCTATACTGTCAGTGTTGATAACTGGGTAATGCAAATCCACCCAACATGTTTTTCTTCAGGAGTATCTTGAATGTTTCTCTTCTATTTAAATTCTACAAGTGTCTAGTCAAGTTCCATTAAAAAGGGGGGGGCACTGGAGAATTCATTGGTACTGAACTGATGCTACAGATCAATTTGGAGGTAACTGAAATTTTACAATATTGTTTATCTATACATGAACATAATACAACTCCCCATTTATTTAGGTCCTCTACAATGTCATTTAATAGTTTCAAACTTTATCTTTTGTTAGATTTATTTGTGAGATATTTATACTTCTGTCCCTACCACATAAGCTATGTTTTTAGAAATGATACCTTCTTGCCTGCTGTAGCTGGTGCAAAGAAATACTACTAATTTTTAATATCCATATTGATCTTTCATTCAAAAAATAGATTAAGCTTATTTCTAATAATTTAAATGTAGATTGCCTTAATATTTTAGGTAATCATGTAATCTGTGACTAATTACTGTTTTCTTCCTTCCTTTTCAATTCTTTACCTTTTCGTTCGTTTTGTTTGTATTGTCTTGCAATGCTGACTAAGTATTTCAGCACAATGCTAAATAGAGATAGTGAAGGAATTTTTTAAAAATCTACCTACTAGTGGTTATATCTTCTCAACAGTAAGTATTTTAAATATGTTCTAAATAGAAGGGATATTTCTTTACATAATTTTAAAAAAGACAAACATCTTCTAAGCATTAATCAAATCTTTGGGGGTAAATCTTAAAGATACTTTTATAACAAAGAAAAGAAGGCAAGAAAACTAAAACTAACCTTTTTGTAGTACACTGGGTCTCCTGTCAAGTAGCTGAGGTGGACAAACTCCATGTGAAGTGTACCAAATTCAGCAAGAATGCTGCTACCTGCAGATGCCCAGCCCCAGTTTCGCCCTACTCCACTGAATGAAAGGCAAGGTAAAGGGAGACAGGATTGGCAAAACAAAACAAACAAACAAAATTTCTTGGTGAATACATAAACTTTAAATAAATCTCAGAAATTATTATCTCAAATACAACAGCTTACTTATATCTAAAAATAATTTTTATAATTTTAAAATTATTTAACAGAACATCCACATGTTCTAGAGATCAAAACAATGTAGAAAACTGTACATTAAATCTGTTTCACCCCATTCTCATTCCTCATCCCCTACCAGGCCCCAAATATAATCATTTATCAGCTTTTCATGTATTAGTACAGACATTTTTACATATACATAAGCAATCCAAATATATATTCTTATTTTCCTCCTTTCTTAAACAAAACACAGCAAAGTATACTTACTGTTCTGTGCCTTGGATTTTGCTATTAAGATGTACCTCAGTAGGCTTCTGATCTCAGTTCATAAACAACTTTCTCATTTTGTTTTTGTTACAGATGCACAGAATTCCATGACAGTAATGATTTTCAGATGAAATGTCCCACCCCAGAGGCATATGAAAATGTCTGACAGCATCCTGAATTGTTTTAAACCTTGAAGGTGCAACTTGTATTTATTGCACTGGGGTCAAAGATGTAACAGGACAGTATCATACAATAAAGAACTGTCCTGCCTCAAATGCTAAAAGTGCCTGTATGAAAACTACTGCATTACATACATAGATATAATTTATTCAATCAATCCTCTACTTGTGGTCCTTTAGCATATTTCTAATATTGTGCTATTATAAAAACTTATAGTGACTAATCTTGCCTACAGTTCATTTGTGCAGGTATATCTCTGGGATATCTTCCTGCTGTTTTTTTTTTTTTAACCTGCCTTATAAACTTTCACCGGAAGCCAGGCTACATAAATGAAAAGTGTAGATGCTTTGGATGTTGTTTTCTTTCTCAAGTTAAGTTTCTTCTGAAACATAGATCATATATAGGCAGATTATCTTGGCTTTAGGCTTTATTCAGGGTAGTCTATTTCAGTTTCACTTTTACATCCAGGGAGTGGCCCTCTGGTATCTCAGTTGAAAGCTGGCCATGTTTACCGAGGGCCCTTCACACTGGCAGCCTTAAACACTAACCACTGTCTCCCCAGCACCATGTAGTTGTTAAATTTTCTCCATTATATCTACTTGTATATTGGCAATTCAGCATGCTATGTTTCATTTATCTGTATGTGTTGGAAAAAACATTAAAATAGGTATGAGGATGTATCACTACCTTGCTTAAAGTTCTTTAATTTTTTGGTGCTATTTTTATATTGTTTTTGAAATTAAGGTAGGCAAACGCCACTAACAGGTTTTTTTTGAAGCCACACATGAGAGTCAAGGAAGAAATATGGGTACAGTAACTATGTAGGGTAGTCATTCATTTCACAAATATTAAGTGTCTACTACGATCTGAGAGATATAGTAGTAAACCTGATATATAACATTCCTGTTCCCATAACAAATAAGACCATTTTAAACAGTGATAATTGTTATGAAGAAGATTAAATAGTGATAGAATACTGAGTACTAGTGACAGAATGAGTCAGAAGACTTTACGTATAATGTTAACAAAAAGTGTTTCTGAAATGACACAATTTAAACTGAGATCTAAATGATGAGAAGAAGCCAGTGATAAAAAGAGCTGGAAGAAGAAAATTCCCAGCAGAGGAAACAGCACATGTAATGGCCCTGTGGGAAAAGAAGGTGGCTGGTGTGGCTAGAGCTCAGGAAGGGGAAATGAATGACATAGGATGAGGTTAAAAAGCTAGGTATAATCCACACCATGCAGGAATTCTGTAGCTATGGTAAAATTTTAAAATTTTTATTCTAAGTATGATGAGCATGGAGAAGAAATGTAACATAATACTTAAGGAGTAAAGCATACCATTTAGAAAGATTACCTAGGCGTCAGCATGGCAATTGGATTATAGTGTAGTCAAGTACAAACAAAATCCCTCTTCCATGTAAAAAGTTTCTGGCCAGAAGTCTCAAATGAAAATATCATTCACAGTACATTTAAACGCTTCAAAATACTAAATTCTAAACAAGGTTTTTCACTTATTTTACACACAGCCTCATGGGGCCCTCCACCTTGGCAGCCTTGAACACTAACACCTGTCTCCCCAGTGCCATGCAGCTATCAAGCTTCCCCTTTGCCCTTTAGTCTCCAAACGCTGTTTTCTAGTTTACTTGCGTCTTGTCTCGGGCATGCGCAGTTACAGAATCAGCCAACAATTTGAGAGAAATTTGTACATAACTTTTGGGGCTTTTAATCTGCAATTCTTTCCTGTCTTGAGATTTCTGTCCCTTATGTCTCAACTTCTGTCAACTCCAAGGCCTGACCATAGTCTCCTTTGCTCCAAATGACCAGTACTTTAGGCTTGGCCTCAGCCACTCTGCACGGTAATTTAGAACACACCCTCAGAGGGAGAGCCTGTGTTTCTACAGAGATGACCTTCTCGTAGTATCAGGGCCCCTTGAGTCCTCCCCTGAGTTAGCTGCTCTCCAATCCCTTCAAACCATTTTGTTTCTGATTGTTTTTGGTGGGAGAGTTAACCTGATAAAAACTATTCCATGGTTGGAACTGGAAATCAAGATTAATTATTCAAGTAGCAAACTTTATGGGTTATTCCTCCTTCTACTTTCATTTCAATCTAAGTTTGAAGTTTGGCAATGCTGGATTTCTCAGGTCTTTTCCATACAGACAAATTAATAATAATAATTATATAATAATAATAATAATAAATAATAATAATATCCTGCAGTCTTTCTTCATCTCAGACTTAAATTGTAAGCTAATTAAATTAAAATGCTCATCTAAGAAAGTTATATGACTCTGACAACGGTACTGAAGAAAATCAGAAACTCTGTCATGAAACTAAGGAAAGAGAACAGATACACGCACAACATCACTCGCCATATCCTCTTACGGAGGTTTGTCTGGAACTCCAGTTAGCTTTTTTCTCACAAAGAGGTAGTTTACATTATATATAGTGTATGAAATCAGAGAATAATCAAGTCAGATTTAATGTTTAGTATTAAATACTAATTTTTTAATGTAAATTTAAACTCCATAAAGTTCTCCATTAGAAAGAAATAACTAAACTAGATTAGTTTTTCCAAATAAAGCTGTCAGAGAATCATGCCTCCAGAAAAACAAATGCTTATAACTTTTATTCTCAAGGGCGTGGGGGCAAGGGGAATAAGAGTCAAATTTTCAAGTAATTTCCAATATTTACAGTGAATAATAATTTGGAGAAAAAATGAGCAGCAAAAATTTCAGTCAGTCCAAATGATTTAAATGCAAGTTAAAATACAGTGACATTATTGAAATTTTAATTTGATTTTTGCATGATTTTAAAACTTTGCATGATTACAAAGTTACCCTCCCAAAATTTCATCTATTTCTATGTGAAACCAGTGTTTTCTATTAGAACAAAACAGATGCCAAGAATGTTTTAAACACTCACTTTCAACTTCAATTGTATCAATATTATAAAAAGGACGCTATAGTCAACATCATGAACTATGTCTTCCCTTATCATTGGTAAGACACTGAGCAATAGGAAGCCCTGATTTTAAGTTATACTGTGTTCCCTTCTGACTTAGAAAATGATCAACAGGTCATGTACAAAAAAAAAGAGAGGGAAAGTACTTTGAATTCATTACAACACTAAATGGAAATAAACAAGCAAATCTTGAAGAAACAACAATATTATAATACAGGTGAGGGAGAGAAATCTAGGCTTAGAAATAAGCGGTAGAAGTTGGAATACAGCTAAGGCAAGTGAACTGTTTCAAAGTAAAGAACATATTTTAAAAATCTGAAAATGTTTTAAAGAAATATGCTTCTGCATATATGCAGAGAAAAACAGTTTAACTCATAAAAAGTATGGTGGAGGCAGAGAATTAGAAATTTCTAAGACTTTTTAAAAAGGTCAGAAAAAATCCGATAATCAATTCGCTTAGAGCAGGAATAATCACATAAAAATAGAATTTACCTTTTCAGATTCACCATTGCCCAAGGGATCCCTGTAGGTGTGTTAAAGGCAGGAAGGAGTTTCTCAGCCAGTTGGACTGCTTTAACCTTGAATACCTGAGATAAAAATATAAACATTCATAAATTATAAAATTATTGTTGTCAAAATACTTCCTGATCTCTCACAGGATGCATACCGCAATGTACTGGATACATCAAAAGTACAAGGGAAAAAAAAAAAGAAATTTCTTTTGGTACCATGGAGCATACAGCAATCAGAGAAAATGGTTGTAAAAGTGAATGGATACTGAAGAAAGCTACCCAATGTTTAATGGCCTGAAACTACAATTAACTGAAAGGGAAGAACATAGTTTGGGTGTTGATATTATCTACATTTTCAGCTGGCAAAAAATCTGAGAGAAAACAGTAGGCTATGAAATTTCTATCCAGGGTATACAAACTTAGAACAAGTATTAAAACAAAAGAAAGAGACGCAATACAATTTAGATAAATACCCTTGTATTACTATAAACATGTTTCTGTCTCAACATTTCCCACTAAAGTTCAACCACATTTATTAAAAGAAAAGAAAATGTTTATGTTCACATTTCCAAGTTTTTTTTTTTTTGTGAGTTACAAATGCTTAACCCCTTAGTCACAATTGCTGCTTTTTTTTTTTTGGTACTCAAAATAAAAAATTACCTAAATATCAGTGGTTCCCAAACTTTTAAACCCATGCTAATACAAAGACATATGCAGTAAAATTTCCAATATTCTTAGCATATACCAACCAATAGATTTTTCAAATAAGTAGTTGAAAGTGTGGAACAGATCAAAGTTCTAAGTTGACATTATCTTAACCAAAGCACACCAAATTTATTGAGGGTATAAATTCAGAGAGGAATATGTGTACGTAGAAAAAGCAATACGACTTTAAGATGCTTTGTGCAAGGTTCCTTAAATAAGGAAAAACTACTTAGCAGAACTTTCAATTAGATATTCTCATACATCAACAATTTACTATTTCCTTGAATACCTACTTCAACACAAAAATACCAGTGAAAAATGTAACAGTTTACGGTAAAGGTTTTAATAATTTTCTCATATTCATCCTATTAATTCAAAAAAGCAAAGATAAAATTTAGTTCTCTCTGCATATTAACATTTGTATGTTACCAAGAGAAATTACATTATATAGTAAATAGTACTGCTTCTTTATGGGGACAAAGGGACCAAGTTCTTATCTAAAAACTAATATTAATGTTACATATTTGTTAATCATATATTTTTGTATCAGATCTTTTATATATAAAACTAATATTCAAAATGGTAAAATGACTTACAAACTTTTTCTAAATAGAAAGCATTCTCATTTTATTGCCAGAAGTAATCAGCGACATATTTTCTAACTTTCAACTACCTATGTCAGTTAACATATAGAGTAACCAATTATAGTACTCAGCCCCAAAAGAAAACACCACCCTAATGCCACTAAGAAAAATGTAAGTGTCTTTTCCAGTACTAACCTCTGACCACTCAGTTCCTTCTACAATGCAAACAGCTATCAGTTTCTTAAATATCTAGTAAATATTTTGTGCTAAATCAGTTCCACGGTACACATGGTTCCTAGCCATGTCACATCAAATCCTCATTTCCCATTTCTCAGAAGTAGAAATTCTATTACAGTTTGCACACACATAGTCTTTGCCTCCATCTCTCTTGCAAACACAGAATATGATATACACTCTTCTGAACTTGCTTCTTTCACTTACTGTACTTTGGAGATCTTTCCAAATCATTCCACAAAGGTCTACCACCTCCTTCTGTTTAGTGGCTGCAGAATTCTCCCTTCTACAGATAATACTGTAATTTATTTAGTCAGTCTCCTAGTGATAGACATTTACTTGCAAACTATGTATACAATAAATTTCAATAGTGGAATTATTGAATCAACGGATATGTTTGTTTGTAATTTTGAGAGTTAATGCCAGTTTGTTCTCCACAAGTTTCACAAATTTGTATTTCAACCAGAATTTGTGACCAGTTGTTTCCCTGTATTTTTAACACAAAAGTTATCAAACTTTTAATTGCTGCTAAGCTGATAGTTGAAAAAGGATATTCCACTGCCATTTTTATTCTCATTTCCTTTATTGTGAATGTGGTAGATACTCAACACTCTTTCAAATCTCCTTCCAAGCATACCTTCATACATTGCAGAGGATGGAAAACTATACGTAACACTTCTTAGACTCCACTCCAGCTAAAAGTGCGAGATATGGCCTTGGCGTTGTTGAACATGCATAAATACGCATACTTGGAAGGAAGCAAATGATCGGAAGCAGTGGTCTTTCAAGCATAGTGGTGGTGGCGTCTGATTCTTCTGTGCTGACAGAAGTTCTACTGACTGGTCCCTAGCATCACAAGAAAACAGCTGGCAACAAAGGGAATGGCGATGGCGCTGGATCAACCCATGAAAGCCACATGGTATGCTCTTCTCCTGGCTACATGTTTCCAAGCTACATTAAAAAAAAAAAATCTGATTTCACGGCCCTCTCAAAGATTCTGTTAGCTAGTCTGTACCTTCTAATAAATCACTAGGTAAAACTGTTTTCTGCAACTAGGACTCTTGACTAGTAAGATGATGACTGAATTGTTTACATGTTTAAGAACTTCAACATCATTTAAATGAAAATTTCCAAAACATTTCATTTCTTCACAGAATAAAACTTCTATGTACTCACTGTCCATTATGTAAAACTTCCCAGTTATTTTTACCAGAATAAATTATAAATAATGGAACTACGCTAAAACTGGTCCTACGTTTAGAAGAATTACCTAGGTCTGTAAGAACTGGAAGAAATGGGATAAAACAGAATGTGGCAAGATTATGAAGAGCTTTAAAACTTAAGCAGTGAAAGTTAGGGTAACACAACAGATTAACAGAACCACTGTAGATTCTTGAGGAGGAAAGTTATATTAGAATTCATGTACGCTTTTAGTTGTTTTTGTTATTGGAATATTTAAATTACTAAAGTAATCATCTTGCAGTCAGTTTTCAACCTGTCAGAGTTAGAACGTAAAACAGAAGTCAAGAGTTTATAATAGTCAAATGACTCCTCACCTCATTCAGGGTAAAAGCCACAGTTCTTTAAAAGGCTATAAATCTTTTTATGAATGTATTACTTCTATGGCCTCACTCCCTCTTTTCTTTCCCCTTCAGTAACCTTCTTCAGCCCCACCAACCTCTTTTGTTTTGTCTGAGAATGCCACTTACTCTTTTTCTCCACCAATTTCAACAAACTTTCATTTGCTATTCCTTTCAAATAAATACTCTCATAAACAAAATCCTCAAGCCTCTCTCTCATCTCCTGCAGGTCTTTATACAAATGTTATCTTCGCAAGCACTTCTTGATCATCCTACTTGAAAAGAGAAAACCCCTTACCCACTTCCGTGCTTTAGTTTTCTCCCTGGCACTTATCACTAACATGTGTACGCATATGTATGTATGCACACATTCTCTCTCACATATCCACCTTTATTGCCTTTTACCCTCACAGCAGAATGTCAGTCATGGTTGAGCAAGAATATTTTTCTTGTATTCACTGTTATATTCTTAGCACTTAAAAGAGTTCCTAGGGAACACAAGGTGCTCGAAAAGTGCTGAATGAATTAATTTAAGAAGCCAAAAGGTATGCAGATTTATAATAAACCAGTAAATTACCTTCTCTTCCAAGCCAACCTCATGTCCCTGAGATATCTGATGTTAATATACAAGGGATGGAAGGACTTTTTATGATATTCTACAAAAATGTTGGGATGATGATGATGATAACGGCAAACATATATTAACCCACTTAATCCTCACAACAACCCAATGAGTTAGGTATTACTGTTCCTCCCCCTTTACAGAGTTGAACTGAGGTATAAAACAGAAGTTAACTAGCCCAAGGTAATACAGCTAGTAACTGATAAGCTTGAATCTAAACCCAGGCAAACCAGCTCCAGAGTTCATGTTCTTGCTTGTCTATTTCACCATGTTAGTAGATGTAAATACAAACACAGATGTAAATATTCTATACCTTCATTATTTAATCTTAGAGTCAATAATTCCTTAAAACATTTTACTAATATATTGCATAATTTTGCTCTCCTTGATCATTTGGCTAATATAAAATTCTATGTTGGCAGTTATTTTCTCAGCAGTATAAAGATATTCCAATGTTTTCTGGCATCTACTGCTGCTGAGAACTCTGCTGTTAGCTGCCATTCTTCTGTAAGCAATCAGCCCTTTTTGGGAGGTAGCTTTTAATACTTCCTCCTCATTCCTGATATTTTTCTCAAATATTGATTCTCTATCATTTATTTCATTAAACTTATCTAAGACTCCTACTGAACATTCATTGAAACTTCACAGCTATTTTATTTCTCAACTCTTTTTCTTACTTTCTCTCTTTGGCTCTCTACACTGTATTCTAGATGACTGTAGATTTTTTTGTAGACTATCACCGTCACCATGAACAGGGGCATCCTTAAAGGCTGGACAGATGTTCCTTAGGACCAAGTGAAGGTTACCACAAAACTGATGGTTAACATAGAGGTAAAAACACACCGCCTACTCAAAATGAGTCTGAAAACAGTATTTCACAACTCATGATGAAATCTAAGATTTTATTCTACTTGATAGCAAGTTAGGCTGTCAGAGCTTTATGAACACTGGCAGAAGACACAAGACTACTGTGCCAGAGATAAAAGACTACATTATTCATAGTAAAGGGACAGCTAAAGCTTTCAAGTTTATTTAGTCGTTTATTTATTAGTCATACACAGCCCATCCTCACCCCAACCTAAATCTCAAAGAGATGACCCAAAGGGTCCATGATGGATTCCTGCACACACAGAGCATTGCGTTACAGGAGAAAACAGCTCAGAGAATCTCTTTTGTATTAAATGAAAGCAAGTCTGTTTGTCCACGGTAAGACATTAACTCACTCCTCTAAGTATAACCTTGATGACCTGAGTAGAGAGCTGTCAGGAGCTTATATTCTTGGTATCCCAGCAAAAATGTACAGAGATGCTAAGGCCCCATAGTGGGCTGCTTTCCTTAACTTTCCACATC